TTCACACTGCTGCAACTTTTCTCTTCAACTTTCTCAAACGGTTTAGTCTCGTCATGAATCTTTGGTCTGAACTGGGCTTAACCTTCACAAGCGCATCAGTATTAGGTGTGTGAAGTCATCCAGTGGGCTGAATTGGACCCTTTGGTGGGCCGGTTCTGGCTTGCAGAACGTATGTTTGACACCCCTGGTTCAGCAGCTAAAGAGACATTTTCCTCAGGAGTCGGTGGAGACCAAAAACAGAGCTAAAAGAGAGTGAATATAATCTTACATTCATCAGGTGGACATAAACACCACTTCAAATGAATATTAATGTTGCCCTGTATTTGCTGCACGTGTAGAAAAAGCAACTGTTGGCTAACAAGTTTGCCATATCAACTTGTTTCCGCTGCCCCCAAGTGGCCAAAAAAAAAAAAAACACCCAGAAACAATTATTGCAGGTTTATCTTTTGAAAATGAAAACTCTACACCTTGCTTTATCATTTGAAGGTAGATGCATTTTCTCACAGAGATCTAAGCTCTCTACAACACAGTATTTTCCTCTTCAAAGCGTATCAAGAGGGAGATATTAAGTCCAGCAGTGTAGCTTTATCTTTTCTTTCTCTCCCAAATAAACTTCTACAGTGACTGAGGGTTCAATCTTCCTCTGCACAGAGACGGCAGACTGGCTCAGCTGTTATCTCCTGTGTTCCCATCAGGCTTTGCGGGAGCCTCTCTCAGGGACATTTCTGATGGCTATCACCGCGTTGACCGTCCTTACATAAAGGCCTTCTCTTATGACTGGCTTCCTGTCCGTGCGATGCTATCAGCGTGATGCCTCCTGCAATATTGCACTCTCAGTGTTTGCAGATGGGTTGTGTCGTGTGTGTGTGTGTGTCATGATGACTAAAGTGTCAAGATAATAATAACCAAGCAGCATTCATTTGACTAGTTGCTGGAAATGTACACAGCTCTGATGGCTGTTTGTCGGCAGAGCTTGATCTCTTGTTTGGATTTGATTGGCTCCGCAGGGGAGAGTTAAGATCTCTTTTCTCTGAATATTTGAGACATGAAAGTCTGTGAGATCTATCCCCTCCCGCTATGTTTCCCTTGAGAGACGCCAAAAAACAGCGATGTATTTTACCATCAGCCTCTTTGACCCAGAACGAGGTAAGGGCTGCGAGTTGAGGAGGAATTGTTGACAGTCTGGGTGGGAGGGAGATAAAGGTTGAGAAGTTCGGGAAGGTTTCACTTCAGCAGCTGAATATAAAGACACATCAGCTTACATGAGTGTCCTCCGGCCTTTCAACCCTTACTGCAGAGTGAGGAGGTAACAGGACCCCGACCTGTGAGGCCAAACCAAACTTAAAAACACACACGACCCCTTCTAGTGGGTTCATGTCAGTGTGACACACTCTCAGTGTGACGGCTGCAAGGTCTCTCCAAAACACTTCTGACAATTATCAGAAAGTAACACGGCCTTTTCTGAATTGATTTTCCTGTGGGAGGACTCAGAGTACTCCTCTTCAGAGACTTTTAAGAAGAACAACTAAGTCTCGCCCTGTTCTTCATAAGAAGATAATTTGAGCCTGTCCTCTCTACACAACATCTGTTTAGGTCACAAAGACTTCTAGCTACTGCAGTAATTATGTCAGGAGCAGAGGAGGAACTTAATCTCATGTTCATTATTGTAACCATAGAAATGAAGGTTTAATGTCTCAAAAAAACAAACAAACAAAAAAAAACGTAATGATGTGAACTACAAATGGCCCTTCCCTTTAGTCTGGCACTCCTTGGACTAAGTGAGCTTTAGTGCCGCATTTCAAAGTGCTGTGCATTTAGAGGTGGTGAGAAATAAAGGTTTGGTGATGTAAATGTTTTGCCTTTTATTTTATTTTCTGTTGGCTTTGCCGACGGACAGCCAGCAAAGTTAAAATGTGAAAACATGGTGCCAACCGACCACCCTCAGGTCTCCACTGGTTAGCTTATGTTAGCCTTGGTTGCTCTGCACTGTGCACTACTTGGATTGGGTGGAAGCTAGCTAGTCGTGCTGCTCATTTGCTATTACCGCTGGTAACACCATCTTGGTGGTTGGGCAGCATTGCTGTAGAAACATCGGACCCACCCTCCACTCTCAAGTGGCTTCATTTTAAGTCACAAAACCCCTTTAGCATTGTTGACTGCTAGCACCATGTGCCATGCTGATACTGCTAACTGTGCTAACATAATTAACAAAGCTAAAGGGGGTTTGCAGCTCAAAGCTGAGCTGCTTATACATCGGGGTGAACTGGAGGGAGAGCGGATGGTGGTTACAATGTTTCCAAAGCAGCGCTGTTGGATCGGGATAGCATCGCTAGTGGTACTAGCAGTGTTGCTAGTTTGCTTTGGTTTTGGAAAGCACAAGTGATTACGTCCTGTCTATAGGGGCGTCTGGTCAGAAAACACTTCTATGTAATAGTAATCATTTAACTAAACTTCATAATTGCCTTAAAGACATAAAAACTTGGATGAGCACCAATTTCCTGATGTTAAATTCAGACAAAACTGAAGTTATTGTTCTTGGCCCCAAACAACTCAGAGACTCTTTATCTGATGACATAGTTTCTCTAGATGGCATTGCTCTGGCCTCTAGCACTACCGTAAGAAACCTCGGAGTAACATTTGATCAAGATTTGTCTTTTAATTCTCATTTAAAACAAACCTCACGGACTGCATTTTTTCATCTGCGTAA